ACCCCACACGTCCCTCGAGTACCCAGAGCGACATGTCCTGGAAGGTGGTGTCTGCCTCGGGCAGAAGGCCATGTGATTTCAGGCAGTACAGAGCCACACATCTTAAGTTTTAGTACTTATTTTATGTCAGCGCGTTCTGGAAAAACCTAAAACATCGAATCATGATATCACAGACATCACCGTAAAATGGAAGCTTAACAAGCCTAAGGGTGGTGGGAGAATGAGCTTCTTTCTTTATTTTTTTTAAAGATTTTATTTATTTATTTGACAGAGACACAGCGAGAGAGGGAACACAAGCAGGGGGAGTGGGAGAGGGAGAAGCAGGCTTCCTGCGGAGCAGGGAGCCCGATGTGGGGCTCAATCCCAGGACCCTGGGATCATGACCCGAGCCGAAGGCAGATACTTAACGACTGAGCCACCCAGGTGCCCCAAATGAGCTTATTTCTTAATTGAATTATAGCTCTGGTGATACACAGACATAACAAAAAATTGTAGGGGTAGTAAAGGAAAGACGGGGGTTTGAGAAACACAACCCTTTATAAAAAAACAGAAGGTAGAGCGGCCCACCAGCAGAAGCCTGGACTCCAAGTGGGTTCCATTTCTAGTTATGAGTGCCCACTTAGCATCCAAGAATTAAGAAAGAAAATCAACTTCGGAACCGAAGAAACGCATTGTATATAAACTGGGGGAGGTCTCCCTTCTGTAGCAGGACCTGAGCGATCAGCCACCAGATGGGACAGAGCCATACCCTCAGAAACTCCTATTTCTAACTTGTGACCTGGCAGGACCACTGGGAGGGCCCAACCACAATGAGGTTGTGATGGAAAGACCTAAACCAACCCTTTCTAACAGAACTTTGCAATGATGTTCTATATCTATGCCGTCCAATATGGTAGTCATTGGCCACATGTGTTAACTAACTAATAGCCACATGTGGCCAGTGGCTACTAGTTAGTTAACATAGAGACAGCCACAGTGCCCTGTGTTAAGGATAGTTGTCTGACAGAAGGTGGCAGGTCAGAAGGCCAGATTTACTGAGCACAGACATAGGAAGAAGACCAGGAGCCCAGTGGGAGATGATACTGCAACCAGACAGCCCCAGGTCAACCTGGTTGATCTACCTGGCAGGTCTATCATTTCCGTGGTAAGTGACTGAGTTATAGAACCAAACTTGCCAAAATCATCCATTAAAACCACCCCCTTGCTCTAATTCTGTGCTCCCTACTCACTGGTTAAAATTTAGTTTCCAAAAAAAATTTGCCTACGGGAAGAAAAATGGCCAGACCTATACCTGGCATCTCAGCTCCCACCCAGCAATCTGTCTCATCAATTAATGGATAGTCTGGTTCCAGCAGTCTCTGTTGGAGCCTGGTTAGTATGAACAAGGCTCCACAGGACAGACTACTGTAGGGGTTTTTGATGACATGATACAGAGGACAGTGAGCTTGTGTAGACTGTAGAAGCAGAAAGGGTTCAGACACTGGCTCAGCTACTCACTAACTCTGCGATCTTGAAAAAGCTCCTGAACGCCTCAGTGCTTGGCCCGTCTGTCCATGTCACAGGTCAGCTCGTGGCCACAGGCAAAGTGAGGTGAGGAGGCAGACTCAGAGTGAGGTTCCATCCCATGTTGTAGGTTTTGGGCAGAATACCCCCCATGTTCCTAGCCTGTCCAAAGCACAGTAATTTCATCTAGGGACACTGCTAGTCTGCAGAAAGCAATGCAAGCCAGAGGCCTGATGGCCTACGACTCTGCTGGCGGGCAGGGTGATGGAAAGCACCTCAGGAGGAATGTCAGGGAGCCAGGGGTTTCTTACCTTTGCCACAGGCAGCTTTCAAAAAGAATTCGCAGACAGCAGCTCCCGACTCTGCAGGAAGGAAAGGAGAAGCATCAAAGTGAGGTATGCCTGGGGACAGCTGAAGACATGGGGAGGGGACCCATCTTGCCTTTGACCCGTGAAAGGTTCAGGGTACAGGAAACAGACTGGCAAAAAAATGCAAGGCCTGGCAAGCACAAAAAAAGCTGCTCATTTCGGTCACTCCCTGCAAAATGAGACACCTATGTTGAGACCAGTCATTCTGAGAGCCTCCTATAAGCGAGATGCTTTCAAGGAGTTAGGAGTGGGTGTGGGAAGGATGGGGCACAAGATCACAGAAGTTAATTACCCCCAGTTTGGACTCGGATCTTCCAGAGGGCTAATTCATGGGTCTTTGAACATGAGGCAGAGGGAGGGAATGAGCTCACAGAAAACACAAACAATTGAATGGGGACTCTGAGGAAGGGACAAGCGCCTCAGAGGTGCTATTCTGGAGGGAAGAGCATAATGGAAGACACAGAGGCAGAACTCCGCCTGTCCAGATCTAGTTCATGGTGGCGCAACACCAACACGCAATTATTAAAGGTGCAGACTTCCGCTTCTGCAGAGGCAGCCGGTTCAGGTGAGGCGAGCGATGGAAGAAAGGCTGAGTGTGGTATCAGTCAGTGACTCCAGGGGGCAAGCCTTTGCAATGAGCCCAGGAATTCACTCTCCATGGCTGCTAGAATAAATGGTCCGTGGCTTCATAAACAGTTTTCTCTATCAGAAGGCATGTTAGAGTTGCTGAAAATCCACCAACAGCATCTTGGAAAGCCAGTTTCATACCTCTCTTCGCTAACTTGCAAGAGATTCCTTGGATTCTCGGAAGCAGGCAGATTTTGCTAGGACAAAACTTAAGGCTGTCAAGAGGGTATCACTCGTTTGCATCTTAAAAAGCCAAAAAGTTGTCACTTATTTGCATTTCAAAAAGTTGAAAAAGCCTTATAGTAAGAAAAGCATCATAGAAGAGTATTCCTGGGGTCTTCTCAGAGGTTTGCTTCGTTCCTTGAAGCCAGAAGTCCACAGTCCTGGGGCCTCAGTTTCAGGCAGATAGGTTAAGAGTATGCCTTTAGGGGAGAACTGACAATTCTTCCCAAAACAAGATGACAGTGAAGTGCCGGGACAAAGGAGAAAGGGTTGTGGCCTCCCAGGGCTTTAACACACTGAACTAGCTCATGGGCTGGCAGAGTGCTGAGGGTGCCTACCAAGTCTGAGGCCCAAGCCAGGGCAGCACCCATGGCCAGGCATGTCCTTGACTCTCCTTAGAACAGGTATGTGAGCCCCCTGCTACTGTACCTGCCTTCACAGACTCAAGTCTGTGCGGTCCCATGCTGGAGAAAGGTGGGCAGGAAGGAGCTGCCCTGCATGGATGGTTCCATGGCCTCAGGCTAATGCCATCAACACAGGGAAAGGCCACATGTGCAAAGGTGGATGTGCTCGCACAAGCAGGAAGTGATCACGTGTGTCGAGGGGTCAGCAGCTGCTTATAAGATGTGTATCATAGAGATGCAGGTGGTGTGTGTATAAGATAAGGTTGCCAGACGTATGTCACGTGGGTAGAAGCAATATCTCACAGAGAAGCATCAGCATGAGTGGGACAACTGTGGTCACGTGTGCATGAGAAGTGTGGCCACTTGACAGGAACGAAGCTGCAGGGAGGCTCTGCCAGGCCACTGACTGGCGGGAGAACAGGGGAACTCTGGCAGTAATGGGACCCTGCACAGGGAACCGCAGACTGAGCCAGTCAAGAACACTGGAGAGCTCACCTGGCTCCACCACGTACCGAGTCGCCAGGGACCAAGTGGTCTTCGGCAAGTCCCTTCCCCCACCCAGGCCTCAGATGCCCCATCTGTGGATTGAACACAAGGACCTCTGAGCTTTAATGTTACAACGTTAGACTTCAAGTGTGTCCAGAAAGGAGAGAAGAAAACTGCTAGTTTCTTTTAAAGTGCTACACATCCACCTAAGTTGGGGGCTGGTGGAGCTATCATATGAAAGTGGAGAATGAAGGGAGCTCAAGCAGCTGCCCAGGTGTGATGAATGGCCCACAACTGGGGTCCAGAGGAAAAGTGAGGGATAGGCTCCCAGGAGTGCACATCCTAGAACGGAGCTTGAGAATCTAACTGGGAATCTCCTACAGAGAGGGACAGGTGGGCCTTCCTCCAGCAAGACTCCTCCAACCGCCCAGTTTTGATGAAAACAAGGAGAGGGTGCTCAAAGGGGGGGGCTGGAGGTGGAGAGGGGGAATATCTATTTTCTTTTAGTTAGGGGAGGGAAGTAATTTCCAATCCGAGACACCCGCTTTCATTCAAGACTTACTTGAACAACCAGACATGGTCCTGCCCTCCTGAAGATTGTATTAGAATAGTCCCAGGGGTTCAAAGACTGGAGAAAGGGGGGCTCCCGAGTCTGAATGGGGGAGGGGGGGTCCCAGGATGGGTGGGGGAAGGGGTTCCACCACCGATGGGGAGAAGGTCCCGGGACCCAGGGAGAAGGCGTCCCGAACCGAGGGGGAGGGGTCCCGGGGCCGAGTCGGTCGCGCCCCTCGCCCGCGGCCCGGGCCCCGCGCTCACTGTCCATGCCGGGGAAGGGCAGCGGCTGTGCCCCGAGCTGCTGCTCCACGGCGATCTCCAAGTCGAACTTGATGTGGTCCACGCTGGCGATGATTTCCTGCATCGCGGCGGCGGCGGCCACACCGGCCCGACTACCTCTCAGGTCCCTCGCCGCCCTCACACCTCTACCCGCCACCGGCCCCGCAGCACACGGTCCTCCGCCTCGTCTTGCCTCGCCGCCGCCGCCGCCGCCGCCGCCGCCGCCGCCCGAGGGATGCCGGGAACTCCCGGAGCCCGCGCCGGCCTTTAGCCTGTCCAGACCCGGCCAATAGAGCAGGGAGTACGGGACGCTCCGCTAGGCCAGGCTAGCCGCCAGCCGAACCCCCGCCTCTCCTCGCGGCCCGGGATAACCCGCCTCCGCGCGTACGGGGCGGGGAGTTCGCGTCGCGGACTGCGCCTGCGTGAAGTCGGCAGCGGCGTGCGCGTAAGAGAAGGTCTCTGGGAACGAGACCCTGGTCCGCGGCGCGGTGAGGCGGGAGCGGGAGTCGGGGCGACGCGGAAGGGTGACGCGGAGCCGGACTGGGGGTGACTTGGGGCGGGAATCCGGGCTGCATTTGCTGGGCCGGACTTTTTGAGTGAGATCCTGTTTGACCTTTACTGGAGCCCGGTTCCCGGGCGGGGACAGGACGGAGGGGCAGCGAGTGTCGCAGCTGGGGTCAGGGCCGGGGAGGTCTAGTGAGACGACCGAGGTTCCAAAGGCGAGTGTGGAGGGGGTCGGGCTGGCCAGAGGGCCCCGGGGAGCGTCTGGGGAGGGGCCGGTCCCCCAGAGAGGACAGCGGCGGCGCGTCTCTAATTCAGGGGTTATTAGCTTGGGCAGGTTAATGAACTGGGGTAGAAAGAAAATTGCACCTTTAGTTTTCTCTGTGTGAAATGAGCATTTCCTTCCGTGACTGACGGAGTAGCGTTAACAGGGCCCTAAACTAAGTCGTGATTTCTAATGGGGATGAGTGTAAATGATGGCTGGAGACACAGTATCTGCGGCTACTACAAGCCATCGGTTACACCGATCCCTGCTGTGACAGGATGGCAGGATCTTGGTATTGCGTCGAAAAAACACTAGTATAGGAGGAGTTTTTTATTTTTTTATTTTTTTGTTTTATTTTTTTTTAAAGGGCACAATATGCTTTAATATAGGTATACACTGTGAAAGAATTCTCCCCATTGAGTTAGTTCACACATCCATCATCTCACATATTTGCTTTTTTTTTTTTTTTTTTGGTGAGAACATTTAAGTTCTACTTTCTTAGCAAGTTACAATTATACAATACCGTGTTAACGACTATAGTCACGATGTTATCCATTAGATTCTCAGATTTTATTTGTCTTATAACTGAAAGTTTGTACCCTTCACCAACCTCTCCCTATTTTCTCTATCTCCCAGCCAACCACCAATCGACTCTGTTTCTGAGTTTGCCTTTTGTCTTTCTCTTTAGGAGGAGTTTTTTAAAAACATCTTGATACTTATTTCGCTATCATTGGGGTTTTTTCTTGCAATGTGGTGTATTTCATTTAATGCATGTAAACACTTTATCTAATGTGGCTACTTGAAAATGTAAAATTAGACCTCGTAAGTGCAGATTGATTAATAACCGAGGCTCAGGAAGGGGAGTGACTTGCTGGCGGTCTTGGAGCAGTGCAGCCGAATGCAAAGGTGAGACTGGCTGGCTGTGGAACTGGGTTGCCTGTGAACCCAGGTCTGGGTACTGTATTAGACAGCCTCTCTTGACCAGCACCCTCGTGATACTAGTACAGAGGGCCCTTAGCATTCCATGTCTGGTGAGGCCTGCCGCTCTAACAGAAATATAACTTGAGCACAAATGTAATTTTACGTTTTCTTTTTTTTTTTTTAATATTTTATTTATTTATTTGACAGAGAGAGCAGGAGAGGGAGAAGCACACTTCCCCGTTGAGGAGGGAGCCTGATGCTAGACTCCATCCCGAGACCCCGGGGTTATGACCTGAACAGAAGGCAGATGCTTAACTGACTGAGTCACGCAGGTGTCCCCCGATACTTTTATTGAAGAGTTTCAAGTGTGCAGACCAGGATCTCTAGCTTAGCACTGTCCAGTAGAAATATAATGCCAGCACATATATGATTTAAAATTTTTAAGTAGCCACCTTAAATAAAGCTTACAAATTGTGAAAACTAATGTTACATTTATTTATTTATTTATTTATTATTTATTTGACAGAGAGACATAGTGAGAGAAGGAACACAGGCAGGGGGAGTGGGAGAGGGAGAAGCAGGCTTCCCACGGAGCAGGGAGCCCGATGCGGGGCTCGATCCCAGGACCCTGGGATCATGGCCTGAGCCGAAGGCAGACGCTTAACCACTGAGCCACCCAGGGGCCCCTGTTACATTTTTTTTTAGCCCAGTATATCCAAAATTGTCATTTCAACATGTCAAAAGATTATTGTGTGTAATTTACCTCCTTTTTTTGGTATAAAATCTTTGAAATCTGGTGTGTGATTTGTTCTTAAAGTGTGTCTTCATTTAGACTAGAGACTTTTTAAGTGTTCAGTAGCCACATGTAGCCAGTGGCTACTATATTGAACAGCACAACTCTGGCCCATTTATCTACAAATTTTGCAGAAAAGGCATGCTTGAGTTCCCTGTGCAGAGTCCCAGAATGCTATTTTTTTTCCTAATAATACATTATAATGGCTACAATTTTTAAAGAATCTATTAAATGAGATATACTAGAAACATCTCACTGAATGTTTATAACCTTGTGGTGAGGTCGGTAGGATCATCCTCATCTTGCAGCTGAAGAAATCTAGGCACAGGAAGGGCAAGGAATGGGCCTGGTCATACAGCTGTGGCCCTCTAACTTCAGTGCCCGGTCTCTTAGATCATGGCTTGATAATACCACTAGCTTATGTTTGTTGAGTGCTTACTGTGCCAGCACTGCTGCACACCATGTATCGGAGGCCTCATTTGATCGTTGCTGTGGTGCTGTGTGGGCGATGGTTCTAGTTAACCCCAGTTCACAGGGCAGGAGACTTGAGACCAGAGTGGCAAGTGCCCAGGGACTCATGGGTGCTTCTTTGGCAAAACTGAAATCTGAACCTAGGCGTTCTAATCTCAGCGCTCGTGCTTGTGACCACTTCTTTGTCTTTTCTCTGCCTTTTGTGACTACAGACCCAAGTAGTTTTCATTATGTTTCTGACATGTGCCAGGTCCTGGTGGAGAAAGCCAGACATGGACCTCGCAAGATTGGCCCGGCTTTTCTCCGGACTCTGCCCTGTGGGACTGTCCATCCTCCAGCACCTCGGCCCTCTCAGAGCCAAATGGGCAGGAGGCAGGGAGGGGCCTGCATGGCTGAGGGCTGTGGGGCTGACTCGAGCCTGCAGCAGCTCCCCCTCACAGCTGCCCCTTGGCCAAGGGAACCAGAAGAACATGAGCAGCCTCAGCTCTGACCTGAGCCAGAGTGGCCCCACGGCCGCTCAGGAGGAAGAGGAGGAGAGCTTTGGGACCCTCTCCAACAAGTACTCCTCGAGGAGAATGTTCCGAAAATCGACAGCCCAGTTATATAACCTACGGCTCAGGGAACAGAGTGGTGAAGATGAGGAAAGGGGGCTGGAGCCAGAGATACGGCGGGGCCGGAAAAACACGCCTTACTGGTACTTCTTTCAATGCAAACACCTGATCAAAGAAGGGAAGGTGAGGGAACTTTTGGATTCTGTTGCTCCCGGTTCTACTCTCTGGAAGCCCAGTATTTTGGAGGGGCCACCTTACCTTCCTGATCTCTAAATATGTGGATGCTTAGGGCTCTTCTGCCTTCACTCACCCTGGGTGCTTCATCGGGCAGTCCACCAGCCCCCTGGCTTTCACACACCCCCCTCCCCACCCCTGTTGCAGTTCTCATGTTTGTATCTCCAGCCCGGCCTCCCCAGTCTGCATATCCAGCTACCTCACCAGCTTCCTGAGGCTCACCTAGACGGGCCTGAAAGTTTGGTTTCCAGCCTTGTTTTCCCTACACTGTCTTCATCTCACTAAATGGCGATTGCATTGTTGCATCCGCCCAGGCCAGAAGCCTTTGGGCCGTCCCTAACTCTTCTCTTTCTCTCACCAGCCGGAGCTTCAAAATGTTGCCAATCCTCGCAGTTCGCACAGCGCTACCCGTGAAAGCCCAGGCCTCTCCTTATCCCCACCCCTTCAGCTGTCACACTTGTCACTGAGCTCCCTGCCACCCTCACCACCTCCTTCTCCACATCTGCGCGCGGCACAGAGCCACCCTGTTAAAGTAGATTATGTTACTCTTCCTTCCAGGACTCTCAGTGTGTTCGATGACACTGATGTTCATTTTCTTAGGTGTTGATAATGACGTAGCATTTATGTTTAAAAATCTCTTAGAGGTGTGTGTTGAAGATTTGGGGAATGAAATGATGTAATGTCTGGAAATGTGCTTTAAAAAATTCATTTTGGGGGTGCCAGGGGGCGCTCAGTTGGTGAAGCGTCCAACTCTTGATCTCAGCTCAAGTCTTGATCTCAGGGTCGTGAGTTCAAACCCCACATTGGGCTCCAATTTAGGTGTGGAGCCTACTTAAAAAAAGAAAAATCGGTTTGGAGCAGGAGTACAGGGTATGGATGAACAAGATTAGCCAAATTTAATAACCATTGTAGTTACACTATTCTCTTTACTTTTGTGTATGTTTGAGCTGTTCCGTAATGAAAAGTTGAGAAATAAAGAGAAGCCAAAGCCCTCAGAATAGCTTATGAAGCCTGCAGGGTCTGCCTTCCACCCCTCCTTACCTCTCTACTCTTATCTCTTCCGCACGATGCTACAGCCATCCAGGCCTCCTCTCTGCTCCTCCCAACTCCAACTCCCAGGCACACTTCTGCCTCAGGGCCTTTGCACTGGCTGTTTTTCTCAGACAGTGTTGTTCCTTCCCTCACCTCCTTCAGATCATTGTTCTGTCACCTTCTGGGTGAAGCCCTGCTTGGCTGTCATATCTAAAACTGAATCTCCCATCCCCTTCTTTGGGCGCTTCTTGCTTTATTTTTGTTTTAAAACCTAGCATCGTTTGACACAGTATATATTTTTCTTAGTTATTTCACTCGGCGTAGGTCTTTCCACACTAGAAGATGTGTTCTGTGAAGGAGTTCCCTCTTGTTCACAGCTGTATCCCCAGCAAATAGACCTTGCCTGGTACATAGCGGGATTCAGTCATTGTTGGTTGAACCACCAGATGAAAAAAAAATTAAGTTGTAAAGGAGTGAACTGAGGATTTAAAGGGGATGGTGTAAGGAGTAGGGGTGGGTAGAGACGACTGTGGGCCATGGGGCTTTGCAGCCAGAGGAAGCTGGTCACTCGGGGCTGCCGTGTTGCGCCATCACAGGAGGTGTTGCTGTGAATGGCCCCCTGCGATCGTGCAGCACAGTGGCCCTGAGTGTGCAGAACCCAGTCTCCCATTCCCGCTTAGACCCAGGGGGCTGGCACTACAGATGGGGTCACCCAGGAGGCAAGGGCAGGACAGATCCCGGATTTGCAGAATTAACATTTTCTGAGGACTTACTGAGGGCCAGGCCCTGGCTCTACTGTAGGCCCACAAAGGGGCAAAGACATGGATGGCCCTGCTTTCAAGGAGTCCATCGTCTGGCTGGAGGGAAGGCAGCCATGGCAGTGGGGCCAAGAGCCTTCATAGGTGGTGGGAGCTCGGTGGGCTTTTCCTCCTGGCCACCACAAAGCCCTCTTGCGGCAGAGCGCAGGGACCAAGAGACTGGTGGCAGAGGCCCAGCACGGCTGTGTGGCTCCTGGGCAGGCCTGGGCGGGTCCCTCATTCTCCGTCTCCCTCCCGCTGCTGAGGCTCTCTGAGGCCGCCCTGAGCCCCCTCCCGTGTTCCCTCCCAGCTGGCCGAGGCCCTGGATCTGTTTGAGCAGCAGATGCTGAAGGAGGAGCGACTCCAGCCCCTCGAGTGCAACTACACGGTGCTGATTGGGGGCTGTGGGCGGGCCGGATACCTGAAGAAGGCCTTCCGCCTCTACAACGATGTGAGTGGGGGGGCCCAGGGCCGGGGGGAGGGGGCGAGGCTCCAGAGAGCCTGGGCTTTAGAGGCAGAGAGAGCCGGGCATGCATGGTGGGATGTCACCTGCGGTCAGACTAACCTCCCAGCCTTTGTTTCATCCTCTGTAAAGTGGAGGTGATCTTGGATGATGACATGAGATGCGCCGGAAGGTCCTCCAGCACCTGCCTTGACCACGGCAGGGCCCACGCGCCCCCTTCCTTCTCCCCCATTGCCCCAGGTGTGTTCACGTCCCCTCACCCCTACTTACTCCCCACACCGGACACACATGCGCACTTGACTTCCAAAGCTGGTCCTCTGAAAAGGGCTTTCATTCTTCTTGAAAGATGGTTTTGCTTTATATTCATCCACTTCCTGTGTTATCTTTATTGTTCTCACAGCCAGGAAGCTGTTTCCTCTGTGAGTCCAGAAAGAGCTTTGCCTAGGAGGATAGTAGGCTCTAGTAGGAGTGATCCCACCCTCTCTCACCGCCAGGACCTGGGCTCATCCTTTATCCCAGCAAGACTTCTTGTCATTTGGGATGCGCCTGCCCGAGGCCAGGTCATCTCTAGCTGGAAGCAAGGGGGAGGAATTGTGGTTACAAAGGATAAAGTGACGTATCCTCTAATAGACCTACTGAAATATCCTGGTGGGGAATGATGGGAGGCTTCCCCGACCAGCAGAAAAGCGTTCAGGTGCCAAGTGAGGGGCGGCTGGTGCCAGGGGTTGTTTCCTGTGGTTCTTGGTTCACAGTGCGGTAGCAGCCCTTCCTCACATGCGCAGGATCCTTAAGTGACTTACTACCTGTCACCTCAGAGAAGCGCAGTTCCCTCTTTCTTGCTTTAAGTTATTCTCCGTCAGTTTGCTGCTTATTTTTTTTTAAATTTTTTATTTTGGAACAATTTCAGGTTTATAGCAAAGCTGCAAAGACAGTAGAAAAAGTTCCCAAATACCCGTCACCCAGCTAATCCCCATATTAGCATCTTGTGTAGTGATGGTGCATTTGTCAGAACTAAGAAACCACCGCTGGTACATGACTATGGACTGAACTCCAGATTTTACTTGGATCTCACCACATTTTTCCACCAAGATCCTCTTTCTATTCCAGTATCCAGTCTGGGTTCTCCATTCTGTGACATTTTTAGAGTTTCCTTTTTTTCCCCTGACATTGACAGATTTAGGGAGTATTGGTCAGGGATTTTGTAGAATGTCTCTATATTTGTACTTTCCTTTTTTTTAAAAAAGATTTTATTTATTAGAGAGAGCGCACAAGCGAGGGGTGGGCAGAGGGAGAAGCAGACTCCCCGCTGAGCAGAGGCTTAACCGATGGAGCCACCCAGGAGTCGCTTTCTTGTGACAAGGCTGGGCTTACGGGCTCGGGGAAGGGCTTTCACAAAGGTGAAGTGCCCTTTTCCTGTCAGGGGACTTATCAGAGAGGACACATACCTTGGTCACTTGGTGAAAGTGGTGTGTGCCAGCTTTCTCCACCACTACTATTTTTCCTTTGCCATTTTCTGTGCATGTCCTTTGCAGCCCTTATTACTGTTGTTGATTACTTATTTGTCTGTTATGTTTCCTCCTGTCTGGAGTGGAAGCTCGATGAAAACAGGCTGTGTCCTGTAACCACTGGTGGCCAGTGCCCAGCCTGTAGTAAGTCCTCAGGACACATTTGTCGTTTATGTGAGGACGCACACAGCATACATCATCCTCAAAGTCGGGATCACCATCCTTATTTTTCAGATGAGGAAACAGAGGCCCAGAGAGATGAAGGGCCATGTCCAAGGTCACCCTGCTTGAGAGCATTGGGGCTGGGATTTGAGTCCCAAATGGCCTGACTCTGAGAACAAGGCTCTTTACACTCCTCTGCAAGCAGCTTGTCACCTGTGCTCGGTCAGATGGCCCTTCTCTGGGAAAGAGCACTTGGGTTTACCAGGAGCTTCTCAAACTCCAGCTTGCTCAGTCACCTGGAGGGCTTGATGACCCCCGGGTTTGTGACTCTGCAGGGCAATGGGTGGGGAGGAGGTCCTGAGATGCTGCAGTGACATGCTCCTGGCCGCTGCTGGTCTGGGGGCCACTCTCCTAGCTGACCCTCACAACAACCTTTCAAGGTGACGGTATCATCCCCGTTTTTCCAACAAGGAGCTAACTTGCCCACGACCCCTCAGTTAGTAAACGCTGGAGCTGGGGTTTGACTGTCCCCTCCTGCCTTTTCCCAGACCAGCTCCACCACATGTGTCTTAACAGTTAGGGTGACCTGGGAGCATCAGAAGGATCCTGCTACAGGCATCTCAGGCCCAGAGTGGGCTGATGGCCGTGGGGAGGATAACTTTTTGCTTGGTGCATCTGGATGCAGGGTCCGTTTTCAGAGCCCTCTGGCCGAGTCAGGGTTTTGGAGGAGGAGCCTCTGACATGTCACTCAGTTCCGCCTTAGCACAGGCCCTGCTAGCAGATCTGTTTAATGCAGGAACAGGGTCCTCTCTAGCTTTCCCTCAGGGTGGCTGTCACCTGTGTGTCCAGCTGACCCCAGAGCCACCTCCAGATGTCTTCCCATCTCCACAGATGAAGAAACGGGACCTGGAGCCCTCAGATGCCACGTATACAGCCCTGTTCAACGTCTGCGCCGAGTCCCCCTGGAAGGACTCTGCACTGCAGAGCGCCCTGAAGCTCCGGCAGCAGCTCCAGGCCCGAAACTTCCAGCTCAACTTGAAAACGTACCATGCACTGCTGAAGATGGCTGCCATGTGTGCAGACCTCAGGATGTGCCTCGATGTGTTCAAGGTGAGGTTTCCCCTTCCTTCCTTCTCCCCACGGCGCGGCCAGTCCCACGTGGCAGATGTGAGGCTGTGGCTCTCTGTCCCTCACGGGAGGGCTCAGGGGCTGATGAGGAGTCGGGCTCGGGTTCACCACCTCTCAGAAGCCTCAGTCTGACAGCTGAAGAGGCCCCATCCCTAGGAGGGCGGTGGGCTGTGTGTGCTGTGACTCCGTATGTGGGACCCCTTGGTGCCGCAGCAGAGGGCGGGGCTTCAGAGCACTAGGGACGAATCCGTGCTCCCCAGGGAAGGCCTCCTGCTTAGAACAGTGAACAAAAATACCCGGTTTCCAGGAAGTGCCAGGTTCGAGGGAAGCAAGGGAGTGGGGGCCTGAGAGTGCTGAGCAGGGGCCTGTGTCAGGGCTTTGGCCCAAAGCCTCTTTTTTTTTTTTTTAAGTGTGCTCCATGCTGGAGCTTGGAGCCCATGTGGGGCTTGAACTCTCAACTCTGACATCAAGACCTGAGCTGAGGTCAAGATCAAATGGGCCACCCAGGGGCCCCCTGGAGCCTCTTATTCCCCGGCTATAAGGAGGCTTTTTATTCCCAGTTCCAGAGAAGGAGACAGTGAGGGGGTTTAAGCAGGGAGCAGCACGAGCTGGGTGGTGGTTCTGCCCTCTCAGTTTGGGAAGGGAGACAAACATGAGTTAACACCTAAAGGCAGACTCTAGGTCCCCATGACCAAACCTCAGAACCGCGGCACACCCTTGGCAGCCTGGTCTTCCCTCGGGCCCATGGGCACGCTTGCTCTTTGCTCGTAGCTTCAGTCTCGCTTTTTCCATCGCTGACTGACGCTTTTCCTCACTGCACGTCACGAGGTCCCGCCCGCCCCTCGCAGGAGAGACGACCTGATGGGCTGTCCGGCTGCAGAGCAGCCTTTGACCAGGCCGTGGGTTGGCTACCTTGAGCTGGCCTGCCCTGCGGGAGAGGCAGGATCGTGGGGTCTCACGCCTGGAAACCTTGAGAGTAATGCATCCGCCCGAAGGGTGCTGTGTGAGAGGCAGGTAGCTGAAGCTTCCAGAAGAGGGCAGTGTGGCTGATAGGCCTCTGATCTGTCCAGAGATGCCATTGATATTTTATGCAGGTCACTAGCTGGTGGGGGAGAGGGACAAGTTAAGAGACAGCTGTGATTGTCCAGGAAGAGGGAGCACAAACTAAAACCTCCCGGAGAGGGGCGCCTGGGTGGCTCAGTCGGTTCAGCGTCTGCCTTCGCCTCAGGTCATGATCTCAGGGTCCTGGGATCGAGCCCTGCATCGGGCTCCCTGCTCGGCGGGAAGCCTGTTTCTCCCTCTCCCTCTGCCCCTCCCCCCTGCTCATTCTCTCTCTCAAATAAATAAATAAGTGAATCCTAAAAAAAATAAAATAAAACCTCACTGAGGTGGAAGGTTTGGCGACAGAGGTGGGGATGGGAGAGTGGCAGTGGTGGGGTAGGGTGGGGACAGCCATGCTCACAAGAGGAACGGAGGAAGTCGGGCCCGAAGAGGAGACCCTGAGGGGCCGAGAGGTGGAAGAACATCTCAAGAAGGCAGTGGCCAACCCCGACAGGCCTGAGGGAGGCCAGGGGTAGCAAGCGCCATGGGCACGTGCTGTGGGTAGGCACCACCCTCGGTGGTGGGGTTGTTCCAGACACCCTCTAGGGCGGGTCCCGCCTGTGATCCTGCTCTAGGGATGAGGAGGCTGGGGCCGGGGAGCTTCCTGCCGTGCCCACGCTCACAGGCGGCCAGTGGCAAAGCTGGAACTTGAAGCCAGCTCTGTGCAGTTCCAGTGCCTCAAGCACAGGGGCTAAAAGTCGCTGCTGGCGTGGTCTTTGCAGAGGGGCTGGCCAGGAGTGATTGCGCCAGCCAGGGAGAGCAGCCTGGAAGGAGAGGAGGAGGGAGTGCAGAGAGGAGGTGGTTCCGAGCCACACTAGAGCCACATTCACGTCCCGCCTCTTCAAGGTGCACGGCCCAGGGCCTGCCCCAGGAGTGTCTGTCCTGAGTCAGAGCCCTTGGGCCCCGGCCCGGGCTCTGCCACCAGTTCTCACTGTGGCCTCCACTCCTTCCTCCAGGAAATTGTCCAGAAAGGGCATGCAGTCACAGAGGAGACCTTCAGTTACCTGCTCATGGGCTGCATCCAGGACAAGAAGACAGGTTTCCGATACGCCCTACAGGTCTGTCCCTCCCAGCTCTGCCTTTCTGCCTCTCCTGCTGTCTCCCTTCTCCTGTGCACCTGTATCGGGCGCAATTGATGATCACGTGTGCATTTGAGGACCTGCAACTGCCCCATGCTAGGTGGTTTTATGTTTGCAATATTTTGGTCTTCACAAAGCACGCTGCTCCCCGTCGTTTTACAGATGGCAGCGGGGGAGGCTCGAGGAGGCCGCATGGCTGCCCCCCGAGTGAGGACACAGCCAGCCTGCGCTCTTTCACTTGCCGAGTGGCCTTCTGGGCAGCTAGCTCATATCAGCGAAGCTTACAGTCTTGCCCAGAGTGCTTGTTCAGCCTGCCTCCCACAGGCCCCCACTCAGCATTTCTGCATGTAGTCCTGAGAGATTCTCACGGACATCAGGGTTGAGATACACCGCTCTGATTCTACCTCAGCTCCCCAGAGAGAACCTCCCCCACCCCCAGTCCAGTGGTAGCAATGGTACACCACAGGTGGGAAGGGCTCAGATCTCACCTAGAGCCCTCCAGCTTATGCTGGGGCCCACAGACCCGCAGCATCAGCCTCACCTGGGAGCTTGTCAGAAAAGCAGGGTCTCAGCCCCACCGTGGGCTTACTGTGTCCAGATCGGCATTTCAGCAAGATCCCCAGGTGGCTGATCGATGTGGAGGCTGAGCCCTAGGGACCTGGGACAGCCCTGGACCAGATGCTTGCTTTCCCTCTGGAAGGAGTAGCTTTCTAGTGAAAATCAGCCAAGATCTAGTTCTCCCTTTCTTTGTTCTGGATCTGTTCTAGTTAGAAACAGTCTGTAGTGCTAATAGCTGGTTTGTGTTGTGCATTTATTAAACTGCTCAAGCTAGGTACCATCAGCCCCATTTTACGGTAACTGGCCTGAGGTCTCACAGCTATGAAGCAGAGCTGGGATTTGAACCGAGGTCTGTCCAACTCCTAGAGCCTGCATCCCTGCTAAACCTCAGTTCTGTCAGTGTTTCCCCATGGAGGTGCCTGCTGAGACCCTTGCCCTCCTTAAGACCCTCTCAGGTGTGCAGTGGACCTCTTGCAGGCTGTCCCAACCTGGGCCTGAACAGTCCCTGCCTTGTCTGCACACTTATCCCTGATGAGGACAGGAAGTCGGATGTGAGCTCTCCTCCCACTGAATGTGGCCGTCCTTTGAGCTCGCAAAGAATCCAATGTGACCAATGAGCCCTGTGTGGCATCTTAGAAACGGTGTGGTCTTGGTGTCAGAGTGACCCAGACGTGACCAGAGTGGTCCTTTGTGGAGAACACACTGAGTGTGCTAGGTGCTGTGCTGTGGGATGAAAATGATCTCATCTCAGGAGGAAACAGGGCTGCCTGGGCCCCCAGCTTGGGAGGTGCTCTTCCTGGCTGAGCCCCCTTCCACCGTGCCCGCCCTGTGCTCTCATACTTCCTGGAGGCTGCGTGGGACAGGGCACACAGTGGGCACTCAGGAAGTGCTGCTAAATCCAGTTCTTAAGTCAGCCTAAACTCTTCCAGAACCTAGCCTCTGTGATCGTCCCTCCCCAGAGAAGTACAGAGAAGGTGGGCAGGGACCCAGGGCAAAGTCTGTTCCCAGTACAGGGGCCCTGGGAAGAGGCAGAGAGATGAAAGTGGAAGAACAGTTTTGGGGTGAGCTAGGGAGAGGAAAGGAGTAGCGCCCCTGTGAAGTCTCCCAGAGAGTCCTCAGATTCTTAGGATTCTTAGTTGTCTAGAGCCTGGCATCGGGTTAGATGCTCTCCAGCTCCTTCCTGGCCCCTTGCACTTGCTGAATGGTTGTTGACTGCTTGCGTCTGCTCGCTGACGGCTCTTCTGAGAAGGAGCATGGAGCTGAGCTTGTCTCTCCCAGCAGGTGTGGAGGCAGATGCTGAGTCTGGGGCTCCAGCCGAGCCAGCATGGCTACAACCTACTCCTGGGGGCAGCTCGAGACTGCGGCTTGGGGGACCCAGAGGTGGCCTCAGCACTGCTCCTGAGGCCCAGGGAGGAGACGGTCATGCTCCAGCCTCTGGCACGTGGGTTTCGGGCAAAGAGGAGAGCCCGGGCCTGGCTGGGCAACGGCATGTCAGTCAGGCTGCATGTGGAGGCCCTGGAGAGACAGCTGTTTCTGGAACCTTCTCAGGTGCTTGAGGGCCTTCCAGAGCCTTGCGAAGCCAGAGCCCCCAGCAAGGCCCAGCCTGAGGTGGAAACTAAGAAGGAGCCCGAACACATGGTGGCCCTCACTTCCTTGGCCCCAGAACCTTCTTGCTGGGGGCTGGAGGCCAACCTCCTGACCTTGGGAGCAGTTCCCCCAGCTGTGGTCTCCTTTGGGACTGTGACCACCCCAGCTGACAGGCTGGCCTTGATGGGGGGCCTGGAGGGCTTCTTGGGCAAGATGGCAGAACATGGGCTCCGGCCCAACATCAAAACCCTCACGCTGCTGGCTGAGGTGGTGGAGCCCGGGAGTCCCGCGGAGTCCTCACTGCTGACCGTCCTGGACACGTACCAGGTGGAAGCTGATGTGACGTTCTTCAACACACTGATGAGGAAGAAGAGCAAGCTTGGCGATCTGGAGGGGGCGAAGGTGAGGGGCTCAGAGGCGGGCACGAGGTTCAAGGCTGGGGGCCCCTCCTTGCCGTTCCCTCCTCTGACCTTCCGACAGCAGGACCTGGCTCCCCTGCAGGGGGCGTCACCTGTTCCCGAGGTAGGTGGGCAGGCTGACTAGAGCCTCCGTTCTGGGCCTGGGCTTGGGCCAAGCTGAGAATGGAGGAGGGGTGAACCAGCCGGCTGCGCTGCCCGTCCCCATTGAGGAGCTCACAGGTGGGTGTAGGCAGACGTCCTCACGCTGCCCGAGGGGCATGTGGCCTAAGAGCCTGGTGGCTCCTGAGTGTCCCCACCCTTTGGCCACACCCCCCGACCCCCACACACTGATCCAGCCGTCTGTGTTAGATGCCGTTGGAAGAGCTCCCCATCTGTTTCTCTCTTCGCTGACCACACCACAAGGCTTTGCCAGTATGAGGCTTCCCCCATTGCACAGATGGGAACACCGGAGCCCTCGTGCAATTTTGTCCACGTGTCTGCATGACAGAGCACTGACCCGGGCTCTCGTGGGCATCAAAGGTGACAGGGATGCAGCCTCTGCCTTCAGGCCCTGAGTGCAGAGCACGCCGCCCTCTGGACAAGCCGAACAGGGTAGAGCCCCTCCCTGAGCCGGCCAGGCTGCGAGGGCGTCTTCCTTCTCAGCCTCCGCTGCACTTCCCACACTGTTGTTGTCCCGCCCTGGACTGTGGGGCCAGGGCCTCGGAGACCTCTGGTGCTCACCTGACGTTGACGGCCCCAGTGCTGGGATGGACGGCCAGCGGAGGAGCAGGGCTTCGGGGAGGGGGGCAGGGCGTGGTGGAGACGGGCTAGAAGGCCGGGGGTCCTCGCAGAGCCGCCGAACGCCGGGGAGCTGGGGGCCTGCGAGCCGGGCTGAGACCCGCACCCAGTGTGGTCACGGAGGGAGCAGGAAGGCCTCTGAGCAGAGCTGTGCCCCTGAGGTCTCCGGCCAGCCACGGGCTTCAGCTGGGAAGGCTCCTGCCACACGTGGCGGGTCACAGCTTACGGTAGTGCCGTCCCCGTCCCCACAGGCGCTGCTGCCACTCCTGGCAGAGAGGGGCCTTACCCCCAACTTGCAGACCTTCTGCAGCCTGGCCACCGGGTGCCACAGGCCAGCAGATGGTCTGCAGCTGCTTGCGGACATGAAGGTGAGTGGGTCCAGGCCGGGGGGGGGGGGGTGACCCCTGGTGCTAACTTGGGGTGCTCAGGGAGAGAGCTGGGCCCTCCTGAACCCCCAGGCCTCTGCACCCGGACAGCACGTGTGCATGGGGGCAGGGAGAGTGTGGTCGCTCTAGCTTGAGAAAAAGTGGACCCTGGTGAGTTGCTGCAGGAACTGGCATTGAAAGCGTTAGTCTTTTTTTTTAATAATTTTTTATTGTTATGTTAATCACCATACATTACATCATTAGTTTTTGATGTAGTGTTCCATGATTCATTGTTTGTGCATAACACCCAGTGCTCCACGCAGAACGTGCCCTCTTTAATACCCATCACCAGGCCAACCCAACCCTCCACCCCCCC